GAGCTTTCCTGGCACTGTTGTGGTGTCCTTACCAAGGCAGATGTGACACACCAGGTGGGACATACCCTACCCTGACCCAGAGTGTGTGATGTGCCCTGCGGTGACTTCACTCTCCTATGCCACACTCAGCACCAGGCTGCTCCATGCCCGCAGGAAGGACAAGCTGCTGTGGATATCTCTGGATGAGGAGCATCCCCTGCTCACAGCTTCTGCAAAACTCAACAGAACAGCTCTGGGTTTGGGATGTTCTGGCATTATTAAAACAGCTTAAACCTCTGTAAAGGCACAGCATTGCATAACTTGCAGGACAGGATGGCAAGTAATCTCCTGAAGTTATCTGAATTATTGTTAATGACTTTTAGCAAGTCTCAGAACAATGGGGAAATCCTTGAGGATTAAGAAAAACCAAAACCAAACAACCAAATAACTCTCAAACCACAATATATTCTCTCTCCTCTTCAGAAAAAAAAAAACAACAACCCAAACCCCCAAAGCAGAACTCTGGTTTGGCAGTAGTTTGAAAACGACAAGCTGCATGGAGTGTAACCGCTCAAGATAAGGAGAAGAAAGCCCTAAAGGGCCGGGGAATTCCTCACTAGTGGACAAAGGAAAGAGAGCTCTGAAGGGCCAGGGAGTGCTTGCTGAGTGAATAGAGGGGAGAGATAATCAGGATAGGGAAAGTATGCCCTAAAGGACCATTAAGTGCCGGCTGAGGAAGGTGACAACGATTTCAGAACTAACTGTCATAATAATGACCACCCATCTCTGGAAGTAATGGGGCAAGTATGCCCTAAAGGGACTCTACCTGCAAGTTGAGGAAGGGGCGTGCAGGTTGAGGAAGGGGACGTGCCAATGATATTTTTAGAACTAATTGTAATAATATTGACCACCCATCTCTGGAAGGAATGTATAAAAAAACATGAAGTTTTGCCCCTGGTTGCACAAGTTTGGTGGAATGATCCCCCTTGTGCCCAGCGCTGAATGAACAAATACCTGCTACTCAAAGATACAAGTCTGTGAGTACTTTCTTTTACAGCTTTTCACGGCATCACTCATCAGCCTGAAATCTCCCAGACACACCAACAACCTACACCGAAGGACACTGTTAAGAACCAACCACTGTGGTTTCACAGATAACAGGTTTCTGTAAACATTATCTTTTAATTAATTACAAGTCTGGCTTGATAAAACTAGCTGTTGACATCACGAATTTCTGTGGGGCCTTACTCTCTGCCCTTTGGTGGGACAGGTTAAATGCTCGATATTAAGTAGCTGTAAATAAGGGTTTGTCCCGGAGCATCCCAGAGTCCACAGCTATTTGGCATCTTTGTCAAGAATGTTAATGAAATTACATAACAATTGCAGAGCAAACCTGTAGATTAGAAAAGCTGATGACAAATTAAAGCAATGAAAGGACCGATTATGTAACCAAGATCTCTGGAGAAGTCGCTCCACAAAAAATGCAGTTATTAAGGTCTCTGCTGGAGTAATTCTGTGAAAGACATCACAGCGCTTCAGAATGAGTTCATCTTGTGCTGTCTGGACTCAAATCCTGTCAACTTGAGTTTCTAGATGCAAAAGAAACCAGTCCACCTTCAGAATGACTGAAAAAATGTGCTTAAGAGGGTAAACCAATGCAAACAGTGTAGTGAGAGACTCCAGGGCAAGAGGTCACTGAGAGCAGAGCAATGTTATCATTGAGCTTTACACAGACTGTTACAGAATGCTGCAACTGGTTCCTGTCTCAGGACTTACAAAGCCAAAAATGCACCAATCAGTATACAAATGTCAGCAAAGAACAACCAACAACAACAAAAGAAAAGAAAAAAGAGAAAAAACTGTTCTGACTGAGCCTAGCAAACCTCCTTAGCTCATACAGCAAATTATGTAGGCAGTTAATTATGACTACAAATAAGCAAGGAGAAATTTCTGATACCATAAAGCTGTTTCAGTTGCCAGGACTGAGCAGTACAAGATAGAGGCTGAAATTTAAACAAGTTTGTATGAGAAGACACATCATTTTTAGTGTAATTAATCACTGCAACAACTATTGAGTGATTCGCTGGTCTCTTTTATCACTTCCCAGTTGCTCAGAACTGGATCTCTTTCTAAATATGTACTTGCTCAAACAGAATTGGTAAGAGCAAGGCCCAGTTTGGGGCAGTGGACAGTGCTCCTCAGGATCTGTTACCCACACTGTGCCACGTCTTCATCAGCGATGCAGCCAGTGGGACCGAGTGCCAGTGTGCAGACACCTAAGGTGTGCAGAGCAGTTACTTAGCTGGAGGGAAGAGACGTCATCCAGAGGGACCTGGGGAATCCATGAATAGAGAGAGCAGCCCAGAGGACACAGAGAAAGTTGGATGTGACCTGCCCATGTGTGCTGGGCTGGATCCGCAGCAGCGTGGGCAGCAGGCGAGGAGGGGATTCTGCCCCTCTGCTAAATTATCCCATGCCCTTATGTCCTAGGTTACAATGCAGGGTGTAACCAATAGTATGTCTTCTATTATCATCTTCACAAGCTGTTAAAGCAGGTGGGGCAGTGCTCCTTATCTCCTGCTCATCCTTGATGGCTCCCTCAGGGGCTGTCTCTGTTTAATGGGCTGTCAGGGACCCATTGCATTACCCACAGAATTACATCCTCCCATTGGGAGATGCTTCACCCCAGGGAGGGAGCCAAGCATTCCCACAGGGATATAAGTTGGGGTTTGGACCAGCACAGGGCCCTTACCTACTGGATTCCCAGAGGACAAGAGCTACCACTGGACCTTCAGGTGATGACCAGACCTACAGGATCACTGCTCCAACAGGCCCATCACCCCAGGAGTGCAGCCACCCTTTAATCAGACTGCGACCAACACCCTGACTGACAGGGTGTCAGGTTCCTTTCTGACTCTGTCAGTCATTTCTTTTTGTACTGTTCCATTTATTGTTTTTGTTTTCTCTATTAAATTGTATTTCTGACTTGGAGTCTCTCACTGGTTTGCTTTCAAACCAGTCCACCTGAGAGCAGTGGAGCGTCGCTACAGTCACACTGGTACCTGCCCTAGCCCACCTGCAGCAGAGTGCAGGTGCTCCTGAACAGACCTCACTCCTGGTGAGCAGAGAACTGTGCTGTGCAGCAGTGCCATCACCTCGTACCAGCTGGAGCCAATCCAGCACACAATCTGCTGTAACACTCATGAACAAGGAAGGATTGCCAGGTAACAATCTTTTTCCACAAGCCATGCTATGTGGGTGAATATGTCACTGAACTAACTAAAAAATCCAGGTGGTCATGAAGTACTATGTCTAGAAAGCAGGTCTAGTTAGTAACTCATAAATGACAGGTCACTGGACTCTAGGCTGAAACCCACTAAGAAAAACCTCCTTTAATTCCTGGGTTTGTTGCACTGGGTGGGAAGGTGAACTCAAAGTACAGCTGTGTGGAGTAGAGTTCTGAGGAGAAACTGTGTAGGCAATTGAGCAGCACCAGAGCATGCAGGACAACCCTGTGGGCAGGCTGGGAGTGCTGTGCAAGGAGGGATGGGGCCAAGAACTCCACACACCAAGCAGACAAGAAACCACATTCTTGCACGGTGACATTTTGTTGTCTTCTAATCTTGTCCATCTCACTACAGACCTGACACACCCTGCACAGCCCACAAAGCACTGCCAGCAGAGAGGCACCTGGTTCCAAAGGCAGTGACTACTGCACATACATGGTGATGGAGCACCCTGTGCTGCCTGATCACCCTACAGCTGTGACTCCCCAGGAGACAGACCATGCTCAGCTCACTCAATGGGAGAGGCAGTTCTAGAGACCACCCTGGCCATACAGCACTCCCCCCTGCCAGGGACACTGTGATCATGCTAGTAACAACACATGTACAACCCTGCCTGTTCCCCAGACACTGCAGTGGCTTCCCTGTCAATCTCAGCACCAGGAACTTTGTCAGAGGGTGCAAATGTTGCTATTTCCTGGTACAGTGGCCTTTGGATAACAGAAATTCTGGAGAATCCATTCTCTGAAAAAGAATAAGACTGCCTGTGCTGCTGCTTCCTGCTAGGTTCTGTGGCACCTGATGCATTTATAGAGCACAGCAAGATATTATTCCTTATGGTCCAGAGCTAATGCCAACATGTGACCTAAAGTAATGAACCCTCTTCTTTTAACCTTTTCCACAGAGGGAAGGTACAGCTAATAGACCTCATTTGCACGGAGGAAGCGGTACTGAACAAAACCAGATGCTGTAAGAGGATGAAGGTGGTGTCTACAGTGCAGAAAGAAAGGACATTGTGGCAGCACAGGCACGACAAGGAACCACGTGCTGGCAAGGCAGCTCCATGGAGCCTGGTTCTGGCACTAGCTAGTGCAGGCATGCACATCTCCCAGGCGAGGCTGAAACAAGTGTCTGAGGGCACACAAAGGCCATCTCCGTACATTAGTTACTGGGGGTCCCTGAAAGGCCAGTGAATCTCCAAAGGGCTGCAGAGCACCTGTTCCTCGCTGCACTGAAGACCCTCTACATATCTTTAATACCCAGTGTTACAGGAGACAGATGCCAGGGGAACAGTGGGTTCCTGACAAGAGTAATAACGACATCCCAAGCCTTCCTAGCAGACTTGTGCTCACATGCTGCTATCTGGTGCTGAGCTAAACACCAGTGCTTGAACTACAGTCTTGTGCAGCAGGCTGCAGCACTGGGAAGATCTCTGCTTTTGTGGCAGCCTTGCTGACAGACAGGCCAAGCTAGAGCCTTTGCATTCTGCACAGCACTGCTTGGTTTGTGTGCATTCTGTGCAAAAAAATGATTCCTCCCTTAGAGAGACCTAAACACTGTGCTAGTCAGTCCTTTGTAGGGAGAACCACTAAAAAAGAATCCTGATCTCACTCATCAGAGGAAGATGACAAAACTGACAGCTGCTGTACTGGAAACCACTAAACATGCAACTAATGTGACCAAATGGAGACTGTAACCAGAGCAGGAATTACACTGGGTGCACTGCTAGTGCCACTGTCCAAGGGAACTACACCAGGAGAGGAGAGGCAGCCTCTGCACCACAGCGTTGGTCTGAATTCCTCACAGCTGACCAGAGGCAAAAGTCCCAATGTCAAGGTCACCGAGGAGAACTGAGTCACAGTCCCAAAGACATTCAGTTGCTTATATTAGTGCTGTGGGTTATGAGCCTGACAGAAGTGGGGCTCGTAACTGAAAAGCTTTAGGATTATTCCTTCTCATCTTCTAGGAATTTACTTCGGCCTTGCTTGCAGCTGGTTTTTGGAATTCAGCTCTCTGTGCACCCTGGGGCATTCCCTCCTCACTGCTCACACTCTCATTGTCCACCCGCTGGGGATGACCTCTCTTACTTCTCATTTTTTCAGCTCCAGCAGCAGCAAGCTTCTTGGCAGACAGGGTCCCAGCTTTCTTCTTTTTGCCCCTGGTCAAGGGACGTTTCTTCCGTTGCTTCCTCTGCTCTTCCCTTTGGCGGATTTTCATTAGTTTCTCAAAGCTTTTGGTAGTCGTTGTGTTCATATCAAACCAGTCCTGAAGGGTTTAGAATGCAACAGGTTGGTACTGATGGTGGTGGAAATGCCAAATAAAGCTTATCAGGGCTTATAATAAAGCTTCCCTGTGGGACAAGGTTTCCCTGACACGGGAGATCTGGAAATGCAGCTGCCCAGCAATGCTCTCTTCTCTGGTGAGTCTGCTCAGCTGTCACTGTCTCAGAGGATTCAGACTGATTTGGCAATTGCCTGGCTAAAATGACAGGAAATGCTGCAGAGCTGAACTGAGCAGCAGCAGCTTGGGATGAGGCATGTGACAGGGCACAGTACTTGCTCTGCAGACCAATGCATAAGACCCACTATGTTCAAGCAAAGCAAAGGCCACTCCAGTCTAGGACCCTCTTCCCAACAGTGAGCAAGGAAAAAATCAAACAGGACACACATCCAGCGTTTCCTTCTCAAGCCACTCTCCCCACCTCCGACAGCCTGGGGTATGAGGTTCCATCCTGCCTTACCTCAGCATGCACAGAGTTGATGTGATACTTGACTCCACTCTCTGAAATGAATTCCTTCTCACACAGGAGACACTTGTATTTACCAGCCACAAAGTCTCCCTGGCGTCAAAACAAACAGAAGATCCATCACCATTGCTGCAATATATAGTTATCAGCCTCCTGGCCATTTGAATCTTGCCCAGATAGAACCCAGCAGTAAGAAATAGAAACTCTCATCCATACCAGACCAGCTTTAGCTACAGGAACAGTGACACGACTGATCAGCTGTGCCCACAAAGCACAGGACTGCTCTGTGGAATGTCATAAGGTCTCCAGCACTGTCCCTGGAAAAACTGCTCCTGTAGCTGTGAATCTACAGGAAGGACTGCAGTTTCGTTAAAAGGGATGTCATTAAGGTGTGTGTTTGCAATGACAACCTCCTTAGCACACAGGAGAGCACTCAAATTGGGGGTGGAACGAGATGATTGTTAAGGTCCCTTCTGACCCAAACCATCCCATGATTCTATGAGCTTGTGTGAATCTTGGATTAGCAGATGGCAGGACAACATCTTGAGCAAAGGGCTACCAGAGGGACAGGGGGGTACTGCAGGAAGGCTACCAACCAAGGTGCACGTGCCGAGGTGAGATTTGAGTCCCGAGACACTGCTATATACAGACTCACAGCCCTGGAACAGGAAAAAAGGTATGTCAGCAACATTCCAGTAACAAATCACTTCTTCCTGCACAAGAAGGTCTCATTCTTTGGAGGACAATTCCAAAAGGGCTAAGAGAGGTAGATGGAGGGAGGTACCGAGTCCTACAAAGCCAGAAAGCTTCTGGTTAAAAAGACCACTGAAGAATGAAGCTTTCAGTAAGCTTCACATTTATATTTCCAGGTTCTGAGCACTTTTGGACATAACAGACTTCTCTGGCAGTTACACTCACCCTCTATCAAAAGCCTGAGTAAAATTACAGAGTTTGTTTTTTGCCTGCAGTGCAACAGAGATTAACTGCAAACAAAGCACAGGGGCAGGTACAAGGCACTTCTCTGTCCTGCTCCGCTCGTGTCTCTAGTGGCACAGAGCTCACTGGTCTCAGTTAAAGGGCAGCTTTACAGGCCCCATGGGGAGCTTCAGGCATCAGTCTCAGGGTACCAGATTGTGCTCAGCCCTCAGCTCAGGCCCTGGAATGGGAGGCAGGGGCAAGACATGCTGCTGGTTAGTGGTCGGTGGCACAGGACAGCTGTTCTCCGGAGACAGCTCCACATACAACATAGTGCTGCAGTTCTGATACCTGGAAATGATGCAAGCCTGAAAACTGTGGAGGCAGTGCTGAGGGTGGGGTAGGGCAGGGTAAGGCATCGTCTCTACACCAAACCCAGACCACTGGCTCTCTGACAGTGCATCACACGGTCAAATCCACCATCACCTCCACCAATAGGACCATTTGTTCTCACTCCTGGGATTACAAGAAACTAAGCCTTCTAGTGCCTAAAAGGGGCTCCAAGAGAGCTGCAGAGGGACTTTGGACAAAGGATGGAGGGACAGGACACAGGGAATGGCTTCTCACTGCCAGAGGGCAGGGACAGATGGGATATTGGGCAGGAATTGCTCCCTGTGAGGTGCTGAGGCACTGGCACAGGTTGCCCAGAGCAGCTGTGGCTGCTCCATCCCTGGGAGTGTTCCAGGCCAGTCTGGATGGGGCCTGGAGTCGCCTGAGCTAGTGGAATGAAGAAAACTTAAGTGCTATGTTGGACGAAGTCCCTCAACTCTTGTATTGCCATCTCTAGTCCTTCCTTCTGTAGTTAGATTTAGCTAGAATGGCAGGGGCCTGTCACTTTTCCACTGCTCAGCCCTCCAAATGGACCAGCTCCAAGCTGGATGCAAAGGCTGTACCAATGTGACACCAGTTACTGGCTCTGAAGTGACAAACACACTCCCAAAGGGATCATCCCCAGGGTAACAGTTCAAAGAGGATTATGATTACACTAACCAACCATATTGAGATGGAGCAGGATTTGTCTCCCACAGAGAGACAAACTGTAGTTTCAAGGTTGTGAAAAGCTGTTGCCTCATACAGACCTGAAATCTGTCCCCTTTGAGGCTTCACAAACACTCAAGGATTACCTGATTTGGGCAGTGGACTCTTCGGTACATCTTTATCTCTGTTTTCCACTTGCACAGCACATCTTGACTGAATGTGGGCAGTCCAGGACGAGTGTACTTCAGCTGAGATAGAGAGGGAATAGAGAGCTGGAAGCAGTGCTGGCTACACAGAATGCCATGTATGTCTCCTTCTCTCCCAGGCTGTGAGACAGAAGTGCCATTTCTCCTCTGACTCTAACAGCCAAACTCTCCATAACCAATGTTTTCGTGTCTCACCGACTCCCTAGAAACATAAGTGAATCTGGAAACCCCCCACACCACCAAAATCCAACCCCTCCCTCCCTGGCTACACCAATTCCTCTCACTGTACAGTACAGTCATTACAGCCTGCCTGGACAAAACACACCACAGCAACTGCTGCTGCAGCAATACTGTAATCTAAGACCAGCGAGAGCAAAACCCAATCCCTCGCACAACAGATACTGCTTTCTACTGAACACTAGGTAGGGGCCAGTACAAGACTCATTTGACATGAAGGTAAACACCCAAACCCCACAAAGCATTTTTAAGGCCTTGTACCTTCCGGTCATCTGGGATCAAGTCCTGCAGAACTTTTCTTTTGGGCCACTCTTTGGCCAGCTCTTCTCCAGCCAGCTCATGGAGATAGTAGATTGCCACCTTTGCAGATCTCCTCTGAACTTTGCCTGTGTTGTTTTGCTCCCGTTTCATTTCTTTCAGGTTCTCTGTTCTTCTCTCCTCATGGAGGAAAGTGACCTGCAATGAAGGCCAAAAAGGTGAGCCTCCTTCAGTAGTTCCTATTTCAGTTACACTAAATACTGTGAACAAATATTCTGCCAAATCCCTCAGAAAAATGCTGCAGCAGCTGTAGATCACTGTCACAGACATAGGGCAGAAGAGCATCCCACTAGTGAGACCCCCAGATCTGCTCAAGGGGGACACAGCAGTGAGGCTGAAGCAGAGCTTCATGCAGTTGCTGGTCTTGAAAGGTATCCCATCACCCACTGTAAAACCCTCCTGGACAACAAGCATAGCACGACCTGTTCTGCTCCACTGGTAGGTCTTTTAAGAGGAAAGAAAAGCATCTCACAAGTTACACACATTAGCATCACTCTTCCATGGAGCAAAAGTTAGGGCAGGGCAAGATTACTGTTCAAAACTTCATCCTAGTCACAGACAAGCAACAGCTGCTGCTAGAAAGAAAGTATCAAGAACAAAATATTTCAGAGAGACAGGAAAATGCAAAGATTTGTGATCCCTAATTACCCACCAAAGCAGCAGACAAAAGCCTCTGTGTGTGTCAACCTGAGTGGCTGAAGTCCCACCAGGACAGGGAGCACTCACCGGGCTGTGCTTCGATCGGAGGTGGTACACGAGTCCTGCCTTTGATCTGTATGCCTTCCCACAGTGGTGGCACTTCATAGCCATCTTCTCCAGCTCAGAAGCAGCTTTCCCACATTTCTTAACATGATACAGGTATCCCATGATGCTGGTGAAGCTGCCTGTGCAGCCCTGTCAATGCAGAAGGAAAATACATGGAAGCAAACCACTCTCCAAGTGGATCACAAGACCAGTGTGTGCAGCATCCATGGTGTGCTGGCCAGAGTACTGCCACTTTTCCTGACAGAGCAAGACAAGCTGGTAGGAAACTAATGCTAGCCTATTCAGACAGACAAAATCTGTGACAAAGAATTGGCATTGAAATGATCATTAAAGGTCTCTTTCAACCCAAACTGTTCCAGGATTCCATGCTACTCTATCTTAAAAGCACAGCTAGGATCTTGAAACTAACCCTGCTTTGGCCAGCACCACGGTATACCCACAGCATTCTCAAAATGTTTTATGTTGGTGCATCCACTGCTGTTCAGCTCACACTCTGCACAGTGCAGCTTACCTCCCTCATGCACTTCAGCTTTCCCATGCGCTTCAGAACCTTCCGAAGGCGGTCCCGCTCCAGCTGCTCATCCAGTTCCTCCCCCTCCTTCACGACGGGCTGAAGCACAGCAGAAAGATGGGAAAAAACCCACAGGATGCTCAGCATTTACAGCTCTTCTCACAGGGAATCCACTTCTCAACACACTACTGAAGGAAAGCTTACAAAATGATTCAGTCTCTGCAGCTTATGAGTTTACAGACATGGTTTTAATGTACTGATCACTGTCTATGTGCTGGGTTCGGCTGGGGCAGAGCTGATTTTCTTTGCAACAGCTGGTATGGGGCTGTGTTTTGGATTTGTGCTGAGAATGGGGCTGACAGTGCAGAGGTGGTTTTGTTATTGCTGAGCAGCACTTGCATTGCCTCTCGCACCACCCTACCAGCCTGGGGTGCACAAGCAGCTGGGAGGGGACTCAGCCGGCACCGCTGGCCCCAGCTGACCACAAGGATATTCCAGACCACACAGCTCACGCCCAGCTGCAAAGCTGGGGAGGGAGAAGGAAGGGGAGATGTCTGAAGTGATGATGATTGCCATCCCAAGCCACCACTGCCTTCTTTAACAGCAAAGAGGAAAAGCAGATTGCAGCATTAGTATTCTTACAGTAAAGAGAAACAAGACCTAGCTGCTGCTTCTACTTTTTTGCCTTTGAACTTGTAAGGAACTCAAATCTGTGGTCTGCTCTGGGTGTAGAAAAACTCCTGGTTTCTAGCAAAGGACTGAAACTGGCAACCTGGTGAGCAACCTTTTTCTTTCCAACTGAGAATGCCTTTTATGTGTGACACGTAAGCAGCCTAACAAATTCATCCCCTTTTTCTACGTTCTGGCACGCCTACCACCTCTGGTAACATTCTACTGCTTTTCAGATGTCAAGTTTCACCGGAAAAACAATAGCTACAACATTTGAAACAAAACCCCCACGTTCTGTCTCTGCGTGCACTAGGGAGGGAACAAAAGCCTGCTCTGCCTGCAGGAGTTGTAGCTGCACAGCAGTTGTGTTACCTGGTTGTTATGGTCTGCCATGACATGGTACTTTATCCCTGCTAAAGACTTCAGTTGCTTTCCACAGTGGTGACATGTGAACATTTCCTAGAAACAAACAAGGACATGGTGTGTGGAAATGTAATTAGTCAAAGCAATGGGTAACTCTTTGGGGAAAGCAGCAGGAGAGCAGAACATTTTATTTGGGCCTGGTAACTGCCCTTTAAGAACAGATTTTATGGAGTCAAAAATTTAGTGGAACAATGAAATAGCTACAGCTTTGTTTACTCCCCAAACTTCCAGCACAAGGCTAGGCAAGAAGCACGGAGCACAGCCTCTTACAGGTGTTTAAAGGACACTTGTTTAGGGACATGTTGATGAAACTGGTCTTAAATCTAACACAAAACAGTGTGCAGGCTCTTCTATCAGTAAGATGAGATGAGCAAAGAAACCATCACTCATCTCTCATGTTCTTACCTGCCTGCAATTTACCATATGTTTCTTCAGTCCCTCTACAGTCTTCCTCACCACAGCCCTGCATGTGGGACAGGTAACTCGGCCTTTGTCCTGAATCTCCAAGGACCATCGCTCTTCCATGCTACCTGTCAAACAACATGTCTGCAATACAACTGCAAACACAGGATCTCTGTTTATCCCCTTCGACATGCACAGTGAATTCTGGAAAGAAACAGGTTACATGCTTCCCCACTCATGTCCAGCTACACTTCAATAGGTGCAGCTCCAAGCCCGTCATGTCACGAGGCACATGTCACTCCTTTGGAAGAGCATTTGAGAAACACTCCTCAATCCCACCATTCCCTGGTGAGCAGTGTTCTTCCACTTGTCCATTAGAGACTTCTCCTTTGTTCATGTCTGTCACACAATTACTTTACCATGCTGAGTGAACTTTTGTTTTGGCAAAAGGGCTTTCACAGAAAAAGCAGTCACAGATGTGACTGAAGTATCTCAGAGTCCACAGTTCCACTTTTGCTAACTGAATCTTTACAACTCCATGAACATCTACCTGTACCACCAGGCCAAGTTACTCACCAGCCAGGGAACAGCACCCTGTGGTGCCATGGTTTCTAGTTCCTGGCCTTCTTCTGAAGTGCCAAGCAAAGGTTTGGCATAATCCACAAAGATTATGAATTACTGGATTAGGCTGTGGGAAGAAAGAGGTTTAGCAGCCTGAATTCTGACCACAAGAAGATCCAAAGGCTTTCCTCTTTCCCCAGTAATAACAGTCCAGGGCTGACCCTCCCCAGAGGACTAGGGGGAAAGCTTGCAACTCAAACAGCACTTGGCAGAAAATTGGGGTGTTTGGTGAGTGCTGTGAGTTACAAACACCGAGCCATTCCATTTGCTGAGTCAAGGCCAACTTTATTTTTCTAGGACAGACTGCCTGGGTCTCTGGTTCCCAGAAAAGGTGATCTGGCAGCAACAGCTACAGAGTTTTTCCTGCAAACATATTCTGCTGAGTAAAAGCTATAAATATTTTTATGTATTTTATAATGCAACTATTTTAACAGCCTTTTGTTCAGTTCAAATGGTGATTCCCTCTTCCTTGTTCCATTATGCAGCAGCAAAAGCAGATGGATCAACACTCCTAGGCAGTGTACAGTGCCCCCAGTCCTGCTCTGCAGCACTGACACAGTGCCAGGAGGACAGAGCCACACTTCCTTGTCAGAGTGAAGTGAAAACCAAATGGAAACACCAAAACACAGCTGTTGCTCAGGTTCAAACCCTAAAACCATATCTATCTTTTAGCTGCTTTATAAGCAATTCTGAGCAACTGCCTCTTCTTCTTACCTGTGCTGTAGGTTTCTGGCTCCTTCTGAACACAGTGGCCTTTTGTTTTGGAATTTTGCTGTGTTCCAGCTTGCTGCTTTTTTCCTGTTATAACACAAACAAGACAGGCCAAAGACTTAATTCTGGCAGCTTTACTACACAAAATCAGATGTTTTGCTAGCAGGCTGCTGTTTACTTGGCTGTCTCAAAGTTGCTTGTTCAGCAACTTTCATGCTTTTCTCTTTTAAAGGAATTTTCAGATGATGCCTCTACTCCCTTTCAAAACCCGTGGCTATTTACAGCTGCAGGCATCAGCCCCAGCCAGATATCTGCAATCTGCATGGCTGTTCATACACAAAGCTCAGGGGATGGAGTTCTTCACACTGGAACATCCTGTGTGCACAGTCTGGCTGAGTTCATCTAATGACAACCAAGTGCAAAGTCCCATTCATCTACTCATTCCTGTCTTCTTTAAACAACTCATTGTTTCCATATTTTCTCATGGGTTATGCTTTTTGCTCTCATTTCCCTGTCCTCTTCAGCTGGCCCACATGTTTCCTGAGCTGCAGTACCTACTGCTGGAAACAGCAACCCGTGTGTGCCCCTGGGTTAGAGTCTGAGCAGTCTGCACTGCTGCTAAGAGACCCCAGACCAACATCCGCTTCTTTCAAAACAAGTCTGACACTGCTGGTCCCTATTCAGCTTTTGATCTGCTATGAACCTCAAACCCTCCTCTGAAGCTCTGGCACCTGGGAGGCTGTTCTTTGCTTTTCAGCTGGGATAGTATTTCTTCCAAACTATAGAATTCCTAATTTTACACACTGTTCTCTGTTCTATTTTAAATGGTTTCTCTAATGTCAGGACCACTTTCACACTCAGCCTTTTCTCCAACATACTTGCCATCTCTTTCAGCTTTGTGCTGTCTACATACTTCCAAGTCCTTGGTGATAAAAGCAATAGTTACAGGTGAATCTAGGATAGACTGTGAACCCTCATTCTATACTTTTATTTCACCAAGCTAGTGACCTTGCTGTAGAAGCCTATCAAGTTAAGTATAAATCCATGTTGCCTATTCCCAATCCCCATCTTCTCCTTCAGGTGTTTGGAAGGGCTTTCCAGGAGGATTCTCTCCATAACCTTCCTGGGGACTGAGGTAAGGTTGACTGGTCTGTAGTTCCCTAGATCTTCCTTCTTTCTGTCCTTGTAGACAGGATTGATATTTGCTCTCTTCCAGTCTTCAGGAACCTCTCCCAGTCACCATGACCTTTCAAAGACCATCAAGAGTGGCCTCATAATGACACCAGCCAATTCTCAGTGCAACCCACCACGCCCCAAGGGACTTAGGAGCCAAAAATTGTTTAGGTTGGAAAAGCCCACTAAGCCCATCAAGTCCAACCATCCCCCAGCACTGTCGAGGCCACCACTGACCATGTGCCCAGTGCCACGACCTTTCAAAGACCATCAAGAGTGGCCTCATAATGACACCAGCCAATTCTCAGTGCAACCCACCAGGCCCCAAGGGACTTAGGAGCCAAAAATTGTTTAGGTTGGAAAAGCCCACTAAGCCCATCAAGTCCAACCATCCCCCAGCAC